TTACCCAAGAAAGTAGGATTTGTTGAATTCCCCACAGTTGTGTTCACATAGGATCTGTGTTGGCTGAAGATTACATCTAACAGTATGAATCAAAATGTGCAGCAGGGGCACGCACCCGTCCATGTGATTCAGCATATGAACTATTTCCATATTAGTTAAGGGCCTTTAACAAGTGACTCTTAACGATTATATGACGCCTCGGTGCCTTCATCAGACCGTTATGTTTGTTTGAAGGAGCTTGCCCATTAAGTTAATTATCCCTCTTTGAAGAACCCTTTCTCTATTATTATCCTCACTCCCCACTGATATCCAAGCCGTGTACAGAAGCCAATGTCCTACTCTGCGGCATGATGTATTGTACACTGCGTTTTGGGGTATGGATTGCGTGTTTGTCTGTGATATCTACAGAAGCCAAGGTCCTACTCTGTTTCATGGTGTATTGTAATCTACGTCTCGGGGTATGGATAGGAACATGACTGTGATTACGTGATACCTGTCACTGACTATGACCTTTCACTGTAGATGCATCTAAAACTGTCTGTAATGATGTGCTGAAACCGGAACACATATATTCCTTCTTCACCTGCTAAACTGTGTTCTTCTGTTGTCCCTGATTTTAGATTGTAAACCTGGCGCAAAGTGGCGCATAAACCAGGACGGCAGCGAATGTCCAGTGTGGGAGGTTAGTATGGCCGCAGATGGCAACAAACACACATGATCCTCAGTAATTTATACCACACTTTTAGGTAACAAAATAGAAAAGATGAGTTAAAATGTTAACGTTAAAGCCATGTGTGCACGCACCATGTTCCACAGAGGGATTCACTCAGTTGGATGAGGCAAATTACTATAAACAGCCACCTGTACCCATCAGTTACAGGAGTGACATGACACATGGTGTCTAATGAACGCTTTCAACATTTGTTTCACTTATACATTGACATGCATGCACCTGTGTGTGGCTGTTTGTATTAGTCCTGACTATCGTGCCAGACCATTGAGACACCATGCTAAGGACTGACGCTTCAGTGTCCTCCTTTAGTAATAATTAATTACCCCCTTATTATAACTTATTCACCCCACGTTTTCGCGAAGAGTCTTTGACACATATGTTTATCATCCTGCCTTACCATCTCGTGATGTAGAAAGACGATCAAACACCATATGGCATATCCAGGATATCACCCAGGTTTCATGCTACTCACACTAAATCAATAGAAAAAGAGGAACTAACCAGGGAACTAAACGTAATACGCTATTTTTAATATGATATGGATACATTTAGCAAAAAGATCAAACTTGTTCAAAGGGCAATGCGACTCTGGTCATCTAACACCTCTCTGATCTTGACTGGGAATAAACGAATTCAAGTGAATGAGGTAGCAGTGTCCCGATGGCAGAAACCAGATATTAACTTTACACGTGTCAGGATTCAAACTGAAACCTTGCGTGACGAGTGAGTGAGTGACTTTTGTTTTACGCCGCTTTTAGCAATATACAAGCAATAGCTCGGTCTGGGACACCAGAAATGGGCTCCACACATTGTACCCATGTCGGGAATCGAACCCGTGTCTTCGGCATGACGAGCAAACGCTTTAAGCACTCGGCTACCCGACCGCCCCGCGTGACGAGTGAATGGCATAGATGTAGATCCAACTATGATGACATGAAGCGCAAGAGGAAATGTATTCAATTTTCCAATTATTTATTGCTGATTGTAAAGTATACACAAACTGTTGTGACCAAGACATAAAAAAAATGATAACATTTTGGTCCTTGCCATATTGTAACGATTCCATAACATACAGCATATGGCAAAACTAAAATGAAATATTGACTTTACAAATCCCTTCGTATCAAACACCATCTACTCTGAAGGTATATGACTTATAGTAAATTGTTTAGCGTTGGTTCTGTTACCTTGTTATGCACACAATCAGGGTTAGTCACCCTCAACAGTTATCTAACACCCTAAAGGAAGCATTGAATTAATTACAGATATAACTGCAATATTGTTACATGGTATGGTTAAAGTTAATGTTTGAAACAACCGTGTCCTTGCTCGATGCTGACTCCTCACAGATCTAGAAGAATGGATTCGAGGATATTTGTATGTGCTGGATCAGATAATGTTATTGAAGTTAATCACTAATACAATTCCATGTGATATGTCACATAAACCTTTGGTGAACAAATGGGACGAGGTTGAGTGTTTATGTTCCATGGTCAACTATAAACAGGGAAAGTCGGGAAATTTGTTGACACTCATTTAAACACCGGCTACACCATCAATACAACAAACAAAAACAGTTTTACAGTTTCAAATGACAGTATCCAACATATTTTGAAGAGATAAATAAATATGTATGCTAGTGAGTCTTCAAAACAGTAGGTCTAAGACATTAAACAACGCAATTCACATCAAATGTATCTGTGTAGAATCATGGGCAATTACTTGTAACAACACATTTCTGAGTCACCAATATTGGTTATTTACGCTGTGCAACTAATTCTCCAATTAAACGTATCATCTGGTGTGTTTTGGTAAGTATTAGTTGAACATATAAGGCAATAAGACATACAATATTCAGATAGCATCTGGTGACGGTTCAATTACATTGCAGTATATACAGCATGTGGCAAAATCACATGAAACAAATAACGTTTTATCCTTACAAGTCCCTACTTATTAAACACCATATACTGTACAAATCAAAAACATATAGTAAAGTGTTTAGTAATCGTCCTGTTACATTGGTATGCACACATTCAGGGTAGATTACCCTGCACAGAAATCTAAAACCCTCAGAGAAGCACATACATTATTTACAAAATATGCATAGCGTAACAAAATTTGGTAAACAAATTTGGTTTACATCCCAGTCCTTGCTCGATGGTGAATGTTTATATATAGTAAAGATTAGCATTATTTTCATGTGTTGAGTTTGTTAACGTTATTGAAATTAATAAGCACAATAACGTATTATTGTGATACGTCCCAAAATACACACTAATGATAAAACAAAATACAAATAACATTTAAAACAATAAACCCTTCAAATCTTAAAACGTATACATTAATCACAAGAAAACCGTCGATGTCATGCAGGTCAGTCACCGTGCAAAGCATTGTGATTCATGACAACAGTGTCCTGATGCTGCCATTGCCCGAACAAGTAAACAAATAAGATCTTAGATACAGACTGAGTGCACGATTATGCATGATGTTAGAAATAGAACGAGTCTATACAAGGCTTGATATAAATATTTCATTCCAGCACAGAAGCTATTTGGTTCAGAAGAACGCCGTGGAGACAGCTGGCTGTGTATCGTGGGTGTGTATAGTCCTGGGTAACTAATTGTAAGACATTCCTTCATGTCACAAAGTCATCCAATAAAGGTTGTTTACACCGCATATCTAACTATCCAATTGAAAATGCCATTAGTTGTATGTTTGTTAGCATGAGTAGAACATACATTGAAAGGATAAATACAGTTGTCCAGTGGTAACAATTCAAAAACATTGCACCATAGACAGCAGAGTCATCGTTTGTATGTTGTTTTTTTGTCGTTTAACGCCACACTCAGCAATATTCCAGCTATATGACGGCAGCATATTGAGTGAGTGGGTTGGGTTTAACGCTGCTTTTAACAATATTGCAGTTATATCACGACGTGTCAGCTTAATGTGGGAGGAAAGCCCGAAGTAATGCACGTCTTAGACGAGAAACCAACGAGCACGTGTACGGTGCTGAGAAACATGGAAACATAAGGCATACATCTGGGATACATCAAGTTGGTAGAATGATGGTCAATTAATAGTAAAACAAACATAACCTCTGTCACAAAGGAAATACATACAGGTTATTTACTACGCATGGATAATTACCCCAATAAAGGTATGATTTTGTTTGTTGTGGGAGGCATTAGAAGAACGTATTATATAATAGTAAACACAATTTCAAAATAACACCTGCTGACAGTCCATTTTGAATCTTCATCTAGTTTTAAATAAGAGCACCACCACCAAGAAGGGAAGGTGATGATAAAGCAACATAGAAATAAAATAGAACGTAATACAACCTGCAATTCTTAAACTGTCAATTAATAGCAAGAAATACGTCCTTGTTATGCACCGAAACAGGGTAAATGACCCTGCAAGGCTATCTAACCCCTAGGAGAAACATTTTAATTTATGACAACATTGACATGATATTGTCATTGCGAAAACATGTATCGACATCAAATATTACGCACAAAGGCAATACACGATTACACATTATGTTAGGCACAGAAAGTTTCTATACATGTCTTGGTATTCTTATTTGATTCTAGCACAGAAGCTATTTTTTCAGAATAACGGAATCTGATACACCTGCTTCTGGTATACATCACATGGCTGTGTGGAGTGGAATGAACCCCATATCATAAAGACGACAAATAAAGATTATTTACACTGCATTGCTAACTATCCCATTACTGCATCATCCAGCAATACAGCTGCTTCTGTTATACATGTGCCATGTGTAATGTTTTTTGTAATATTATGTGTCATTGCAATTCAGATTAGGCTTCATAGTATATACAATATTTAGACTAATACATTAATTTATCCCAGCACAAGAAACAAAACAACGTTGAAGCTTTTTTTCCGGTATTGCATACACATAATGTTTATAGACGTAACTAGTCATAGACTATCGGTTTTACATAACTACTCATCTAAAAAAAACAGCCTTATCGCTGATGCATTCATTGCTGGTGTCCAGCCCTTGTCACAAAACACGGGAAGTATATTCGCATGTTTTGTTTCAAACATATTATACATATGTAATGCTTTTCACACAGGAACCCATGCACAATCCATATTGGTATGCATCCCAATATCATACAAAAATGATTTTTGAAAATATGTTTCTAGTTCAACACTATCAAAACACCTTCCCAGGTATGACTGTCGGGGGCAATACTACTTGAAAATAAGCTCCATCATGTATATCTCAAGACTTATCCAATCGGTACTTGACAATGTCGTCGTTGTTGCCACGACGAGCCAGGGAGGTGATATCTTCCCCTGTACTTGAGACTAGAGACAGATCCGCCTTGTGAGACACCAGCAACTGGAAGACATCTCCATGGCCACACACAGCTGCCATCATCACCGGTGTCCAGTCATAGCGACCTCGGACATTGATGTCATAGGATGGGAGCAGATACTCCACACACTGTCTGTTCCCTCCTCGACAGGCCAGATGTAGTAAGCTATCTCCAAATTGATCTTTCTGAACAAGGTCAGGACTTAGTTGTGAATATGTCTTTAGGTAGTCCACTTGTGATGTCACTAGTGACTTCATCAATTCATTCCATGGTGTGATGCTTTTCCCTGAATGTTCCTCTCGTCCTAACTCCTTGATGATCCCCCTGCATCCTCCCTGGAGGGCCAGAGTATACACACCATCTTCTGCCCTGTCTGCCAGTGTCACATCTGCTCCTAGGCCTTTAAGATATTGAAAAACAGCATAGTTTCCCTCCACAGCTGCCATTGCCAACGGTGTCCAACCAAAGTTATCTATCAGAATAGGACATGACATGCTTAACCATCTTCAAGTTTCCTGACTCACAAGCCAAATGGAGGAGACTATCTCCATCATTGTCCACCAGGTTGACGTCAGCACCATGGTCCACCAGGAAGTCAACTACATCAGTGTGACCTCCACACACAGCTAGCATCATTCTCTCCTCGTGTGTTGATGTCAAAGTCACCAGTAACATGTCTAACAATGTCAATGTTTCCACCTCTACTGGCTGCATGGAGTAAAGTATCATTGTCATCACCAGAGAGTGATGGGTTAGCTCCATTTAACAGGAGGAGATCAAATGTATCCTTATTCCCACTGGAGGCTCCTTTCATTACTGGTGTCCAACCCTTGTGCCCCCGACAGTTGATGTCACACATTGGCAGTAGATGTTCTACTAAGGCTTTATTTCCACCTTTGCAGGCAAGGTGAAGAATGTTGTCATTGCCGTCATCAGTCAGTGTGATGTCAGCTCCCTTTGACACAAGGAAGTCAAACACATTTTTCTTTCCACTCCAAGCTGCATTCATTAGTGGTGTCTGTCCCATTTTCCTCTTATGTTTATGTCATTCTTTGTCAGTACATATTCTACTAACGGCTTATTTCCTCCCAAACATGCCAGATGAAGAATGCTGTTATTGTCGTCATCAGTCAGTGTGATGTCAGCTCCCTTTGACACAAGGAAGTCAAACACATCTTTCCTCCACTCAAAGCTGCAGTCATTAGTGGTGACTGTCCCATTTCTCCTCTTATGTTTATGTCAGTCTTTGTCAGTAGATATTCTACTAACGGCTTATTTCCTCCTTCGCATGCCTGATGAAGAATGTTGTTATTATCGTCATCTGTCAATGTGATGTCAGCTCCCTTTGACATAAGGAAGTCAAACACATCTTTCTTTCCACTCCAAGCTGCCTTCATTAGTGGTGTCCGTCCCATACTTCCTCTTATGTTTATGTCAGTGTTTTTCAGTAGATATTCTACTAAGGGGTTATTTCCTCCCCGACATGCCAGATGAAGAATGTTGTTATTGTCGTCATCAGTCATTGTGATGTCAACTCCCTTTGACACAAGGAAGTCAAACACATTTTTCTGTCCTCTCGAAGCTGCATTCATTAGTGGTCTGTGTCCCATATTTCCTCTTATGTTTATGTCAGTCTTTGGCAGTAGAAATTCTACTAAGGGCTTATTTCCTCCCTGACATGCCAGATGAAGAATGTTGTTATTGTCGTCATCAGTCAGTGTGATGTCAGCTCCCTTTGACCCTTTGACACAAGTCAAACACATCTTTCCTTCCAATCAAAGCTGCAGTCATCAGTGGTGTCCATCCCATTTTTCCTCTGATGTTTATGTCATTATTTTGCAGTAGGTATTCTACTAATGACCTATGTATGCGTATGCATGCCAGGTGAAGACAGCTATTGTTCTCTTTATCGGCCAGTGTGATGTCAGCTCCCTCTGACACAATAATGTGAAAGACACCCTCCGGCCCCAGCATCACAGCTATCATTACTGGCGTCCAACCAGCTTCCTTAACTGTTGATGTCACAAAAAGGAAGGAGTTTACGTACAATGTACACATTTCCCGAATAACAGGCATAATGAAATACGTTGTTACCATGTTCATATGTCACTGAAGTCAGGAAGGGTTTGACTGCAGCAAGGACCTTATCCACTATATCATGTCTTTCCAATATAGGGTGCATGATAGACATCCGATAGTCCCCCTCCCTCACAGCCCCTGCCAGTCTTGAAGCAATGATGTCATTGTAGGCATCTGATACATAGATCACATGCCTATCCTCATCAGTCTCGCATGCAGGTACTGTTTGGGCCTGAACACGTTCGTACAGGAATTGTATGCTGCAGTGTCGTAATACAAAAGCACAATTGATTTTGCAATAGACAAAGGCACAGGCATCATAGATTGCTGGGTGTGAAATAATGGTGATGTCTGCTTTGGTAAAAAATGTACCGAAAAATCCCTTCACGCAACTGATAATCTCTGCACTGTCAACACCACTAACTACACTTGAGACTGTGGAGAGATGTTTCTCAAGCGTTTGGCTGCCTGATTCCAAATGGCAAAGGTTCAGGTTACCTTCACAAAGCAACATAAGGATCAGTGCTGATGACTTGTTATTCACCTTTTTTTAGCAGAGATTCCAGTTCTGCCCTGAGAGGCGTCTTAAAAAAAAATCTTCATATTGATCATGTGATTTTGGAAAACTGAAGAACAGTTTGCATGTGAGCGGGAAGCAAAACAGTTGATCCTTAATGCCACACATTTTGTCTAAATCAAAATAACTACTGTTACTGTTATAAGTTTTATGTTTTATAAACATCTGTTTCTTTTCTTCGACTGTGTAGCGACTCTCAGACCGTGTAAGGTCAATGACTGAATCTCCTTTGAAAAACACACACTCATTTTCTCCCAAGTGTATTTTTCCCAGGTCAAGATTGTATGATTTTGTGGTAAATATGACACGAACGTTTCCCATGTCTTTTTCTCTGTGATTTGAATGAGAGTCAAGTTTTCCATTAGATTGGAATGATTTAGAAAAGTTAGATGCCACCTGCTCAAAGTAAGAGTTGAGAATATCTAAAATCCGTCTGAGGTGAGGTCAATCGGTTGATATTTCTACTGTTCCAAATATGTCATCAAATATGAAACACAGAAATTTACCTTGTATTTCACTACATAACTCGAATTCTGAAATGTTGTGGACAAAATATAGTTCATACCCTTTCTTCTGGTATTCTGACCCCAACATCAGCGCCATTGACGTCTTTCCGTCCCCTGAAGCACCAGATATTGTCACATGTCTAAAGTTCCCTAAACGTTCCTTGACTTTATGGTAGATAGCAGTCTCTTCAAATAATTCTTCTGTCTTCTGAATCTCCCACTCCAGCATACCTGGAAGACAACATGGAGACATTCAGAAAACAAAACAGATAGACAAAGTAATCATAATCTGCAAGGTCCACTCAACCCATAGGTGAATAATCTACTCCCGATCGACACTACTGTTTTTCACACAACAACAGAGAGGCATAGAAGCATAGAAGACAGTAATTACCACTAATTGTATAACAGATAAACAATATGCTGGTTCCTATGAAATCACACAGTCAACGTAAATCGTCTCGCGGGTTTCCTTCACGGCTCACCTTCGCTGAACAGAGTGTGAAGCTGAATTTCCGTTTGATACAACTGTAACTCGGTGATGTCTGTGTATTTAAATGCTATTTCGACACGATTTTAGAATCGGCATCGAATATTTCTTCTAATCAATATTGGAGGAAGATGCGCACTTTATTTCCAGGGGGCACTTTGAAAGAACATTCTATGCTCGAATCATCAGCTACTAATGTTGTAATCATACGCCACATTTTAACAACTTAGAGAATATGTAAAGTTTAAATGAGTTACAAATAAATTACTTCATTCGTACCCGTTAGATACCGTTTATATTACAACACATATATGTCATATGCACAACACTGTCATTGCGTCACGTTAGCGCGTTGCAATGACACTGGTAACATTAACAATAACACAATACATACCAATATTAATCATACACATTGCTTTACCTCCTTAATGGTAGACACAAGGTTGCACTAATTATTTTCGTCATTAGCTTTACGATTTACTCTACATAGCGTCAGCTGCATTCATTTTAAAGAACAAAAACTGACTATTTAAGATATCGAATTCCCAATCTTTCTGAGTATCTGTCGATGTGAGCGCTAAGGGAGACGCGCCTTGTTTTGGGGTCCTTTTTGGCCGTCCAAGACAGGAGTAATGCTGTGCGGCGTCACGCAATAAATACCAACATTTTGACGCAAATTGTGTGAATACGAGGGTACTACCGGTAGGGCAAGGACGTGCTCACCTTCTCCCGAACACCTTGTGTTGTCACTGATTTCCACGAGGGGCGTTCAATAAGTTCAATAAGTTTTGCAACTTGCAAAACGTATTGAACGTCCGTCAAATATGAAGCCTACCTCTATCCATGACATATATATATATACTCATCTTTCCTTTGATTATTAATGTGGGAAAGCACATTATATCCTGAAGAAAACAAATTAGAACATGATTCATGTCAAATCTCATCTGAAACGGTACATTGGTTTTATCACATTTTTGCTTCGATGTTTTATATAGTACCGTTGGAATTCACATTTCAATGGCAACAAGAATAAGCGTAAAACAACACATACAGTATACGCCAAACCACACCACACTACTGCACAACATAAGTATATCACTATGGTAATATAATTATTCGAATTTTAGCGAATTACATACATGTATATATAACATTTTATTAAACAAAAACTTAAGAAAGAAATAACTTGTGTTGAAGAATTATGTTATGCTACAGGAATGAATATCGATCTTGAAACAAGAAGGGGCAGACTATTTAGACATTATGAAAAATTATATTTTAAAGGAGAACACATAGAAACTGTGAATAACTAGACATATCTTAGCACTTTGTTGCACTCCCAAACTCTCATGGTCAAAATATACAATTATGTTTAGCAGTACAGGCTACCAAAGCATTATTATCAATCAATTGATTGAATCAAAACCTTGGTCATATAACCAGTGATGAAAGGTTTACTTTATTTCTGAGCATTTAAACATCATATGTTACATAAATAGGTCAAGAGATTGGTGATATCAAATTGTTTTTGAGTATTTCAAACAAAGAGTTCATGACTGTCTCTCCCAAATTTGGCACCTATCCCTGAACACTTCATAAATGTCAATACTACTCGCAATACAAGTCCTCACTCAGTGTAAAGGGAGATATTTATATGAACTCCCGCTTTATTATCAAATACGTATTTAAAGTATGAAATGTTACAACTTTACATCAACAATTGACACTGGACCCACGACCCCCCACCCCTGTGAGGACCATGCTAAGCTTTTGGTTTTGCATGTTTTTTTACGTTTGATGAACGCTCTGTTTTTATCAAAAGTTCCCCAAAACCTGTGGCTAGAAAATCATTTAATGTTCAAACGATTTAGATGGTCCTAGATAAATTTGAGGCTATGAAAGCATACGTTTGCGTTTTTGGCCAGATGCCTTGGATACTGATTGTGCTCTGTCTGTTAGTGTAATTTAAGATCAGATTTATTCAAGCACATTTTGCCATCGAACTATCCTCAATTGCGAAAACATTCCCAACTGAACCATGTTTTATGAACCGTTTCACTTTACCAAGTGCGGAGGAAGATGACTTCACCAATAGCCATCCTAAACACAAGGTATAAACATTCCCGGTTTTGTAACATTATATTGCTTTGAATATGTACATGTCCATTGCAGTACATTTTATAAAAAGGAAAATATGTGCATGCCGCAAACACGATGCCAAATTTCTCAGCATTCACGACTTAATGACATCCCTTTAAGCTTTGAAAGTGTTTGCCCAATGTAATGTAATTTACGAAAGTTCAATTCCTATATCAACCTCAAGAACAGAGGTATTAGCACTTCTGGTTTATCATTATGCCTTCTCTTTGGAAAAAAGGCATGACCATTGAATAAAGATTCAGATAAACCACAAAGAACTTTAACAGTTAGTATTCTCCTTCAGTCTCACATACTCAGATGTATCCACCTCAAGCAACATTGATCAAGTTTATCCCTCAAAACAATACACATATACTTCTGATTGATGCCAGCCTAACTAATAAGTTGACACACTGGCATCATCCTGCCCATTCTTAAAGTGTCCTTGAATGTAGGCGAGAATAAGCAACCACCAAATCATAAGTGTACACACGAGTTCACAAGTAACATGTTTTGTGTGACCCTAGCTGCTGCTACAGAACGTATGACACATATACCGTCATCATCATCTACGTCTCTACACCTACGGGGCGGTGGGGTAGCCTAGTGGTTAAAGCGTTCGCTCGTCAGGCCGAAGACCTGGGCTCGATTCCCGACATGGATACAATGTGTGAAGCCTATTTCTGGTGTCCCTCTCCGTGATATTCCTTGAATATTGCTAAAACGGCATAAAACCACACTCACTCACTCACTCACTCTCAATACAACTACAGTGCTTAAGGCATTAGGCATTGACAAGGTGAAAGTCAAGTAAATTTCTATTGGTGTTAGTTTATTTTCACAATGTTACGGAATATGTAAGAATATATACAACGTCATTGTTACAACATCAATACGTTGTTATGGTTACCTACTTGGCAGTAAAGGCACGCCTTCAGGATTTTCAGGGTCAGTACCAGCTGGAAAAAAAAGAAAAAAAGAAAAATCACATAAGGGCATAGCGTGCGACCATATTATTAGGAAGTTAATTAAAAATACATTTTTAGATTTAACTTAACTTTTTTTGGTTATTCAGTAGAATTAAAAATGGTTTCCAGATGGTGCTGATTCAGTGGGTAAGCTTATCAATATAACATAAATTGACAATGGTAGAGAATAATCCACCTAGATTTTCTGCAAAAACAGATTCAATTTGGTTTAAAGGGCAAATAACAGATGAAATTGTGTGAATGGACAACTGAAAATCAGTGATGACACCAGATGTTCGCAAAAAGGGTTTGGATGTCCTGCTCTACCGGTAGAACCCGTCATTCATATAAATTGTTTGTATTTCCTGACGCAACACAGCAATACCCCTGCCATGCGACGTCAGCCTGTAAACAGTGACACAGAGTACCATTCCGGTATTTTTTACTGAAAGGTCAAATTTGGTGACGTCCCAATTATGAAACATAGAGATATGTCAATAGGATCAATTCAACTGGATCATAGTGTTTTTGCATTAAGTAAACGTGTTAATATATTGATTCGGACAGATATTCATGATTTATGTGTGATGGTCTTTGTCAATGTTTTTTTTAAGAAGTGACTGACTCTAAGGACGATGGTTTTCCACGGGGCTATATGATGTTGGTATGTACATAATTGAGACTGGAACAGACAATCTAGTGACTGACAACATGAGCATATATCTCTGCAAATGAGGAACGACGGTATGCACCTTCTAAGGCAGCGATGCTGATCACCGTTACGACAAACATGTGTTGCTGAGGACTAATTATAACCCGGACCTTATGACAGTAGTAGGTTACAACGAGGAACGAAGAGATACAACTATCATCAACCGCCAACCCGACCCTACTCTGTACATCAGCCACTCAAGGAGATAACAGAAATGCATCCTGCTAACTATGATTGTTGTTGTGTTGCATAAAACCAGCCTCCATCCATCATTGTGGGACAATGACATACTGAGTACAGTTCTAGAGTTGTAAATATACATGTATGTGCTAGATGTAAGTTTAGGCCTACTGTTGCCATCGTGAACAAAATCGACCAAAGACACACAACAACCCACAAGCATAATATCCTACTAAAACAGGCTCACTTAAAGCAGGCCACCGTACGAGTCCAACTACTAATATATTTCTGAGTCAATTTCAAATAGTGCTGATGCCTTGTGTTTGCGAAAGGTTTTGGGATCAGTTTCCCAGAGGGCGGGATGCGGAGCTTGGAATCAGAATGGTGGTGTTTCCCAGGGTCAATTACCCAGTGGCAGTTACAATGTGTGAAGATATCTAACCCTCTAATGCAATTTGCTACAATACCTTTTGGCCTCCTGGTTGACTTTCTTCTGCAATTAATAAGAACCTATCATTAGTTCTGAGAGTAATTTGATAGACACAATCATGGTCACCAAGTGGGTAACAAGTACACTATACGTCCACTGATGTAAAGGTCACAAGCAGTAAGTTTATTGTAAGGAATCACGACTGTCCCATCCACCTTTCCACAAACTCGAATTGTTTTACCATCTCGTGACATTGAGGTTATTCAGACGTTTATTGTAAGAGATGTAAAGTTAAACCTATTATGGGAACAGCTCTTTAGGAGAAAAAAAACAAGAACAGCAATTAGACATCGCTGGCAAGATGTCATTCATGTCCACTTTACTAAGGAACAATTGTTGTCATACGTATGGCGTTGTTCAGATTTTCACTTCTGGCATCGAGTACGGGGTAATTCTAAATGATAACCTGTTTTGCAAAATGTATTAGAACTGAGTACATGTATTAGAACCCACCGTCACCATTCTCGACAGTAACAATAACATTTCATCATGACTAGTCTTTTCACTGCAACAAAAACATAACTTGCATTTCTATTTTTACACCCTTGTCTCAGTTCTATTAAAGAGTCATCTTCTTTTAAACCATGTAGGCTTTGTGTAAGAGTACACAGAAAGAATCTTAGAAATGCAAGTCACGCTTTCAAAAAGATTATATGAAATGTTGTTTAACTTACCTGTTGTCTCCCTGGCGTCGACATGTTATGACGACGGTTACGGCGATGATAACACTAATTGCCACAAGGGAGATTGTAATGATCACTGCGACGTGTGCCGTTGACTGTTCTGTTGTTTCATCTGTTTTGACCTTGATGTCTGTCGAAATAAACATTGCCTATGGACAACTGTTCAATTGAGTCATCTTTTTTATATCGTTTCTATGATAAATGGAGGTGTTACTTGTAGTATGTTCTTAATGCCAAATTCCAATGTTGTTACAAAGTTTTGTGAGGTAAAAATATATGTAAAATTATGAATATGTTACTTAATGTATGTGTTCGTTTAAATAGGTAGATGATATGTACTAGTGGTTAACAAATATGTAACATTAAAACCACTGTTAAACTTTTGTTTTTGTTACATAATACAAACTGATTGTGTATTGATGCACTGAAATGAGTACTCATTAAGGAATATACCACATCCATTTGGGATCAAATGTGTGATAAGACCTAATACGGTAGGAGTATTGCGGAGTGAGGCGTTATACAAAAACAAAAACAAAAACAAATGAGATAATAAATAATTGTGACTTTAGAGAGAAAATTAAACCAAAAACATATTTCTAATACGACGGGTGTTTTTGAATTTACATCTTATTTTTGCAAAATGCAATGCCCAACAATTGTTTGCACTGAGGAATCATTGCATGACAATCAGGATTTCTATTGTGCCATCCCTCAACTGAAGTAACAATGTGAAACCGGTTAGCATCCCACACTTTCAGGGATCTCACAGAAATCCCCTATTTGGTTTCCACTGCATACCCTTGTGCACCGTCCATTCCCATGATTGCAGACGTTGTCCAGACAGTTCTTGCCGCAGTCTTGGTCACATTGAGTAGCATACCATCCAGTGATGCAGCCATCGGAGCACTCTCCAGTTCCCTTGTTACAGTGTGTGAGGTTCCTCTGTAGGTTACCTTGGCAGTTTTTGGAGCAGCGTTTGTCACAATTATCCCCATATTTGCCAAACTCGCATGCTGCGACTGCATGAATCAGAAATGCTGAAAATGTGACAAAATAAAGATGAATGAAAGAAAGGAAGAAACCCAGAAGAAACGCACATCAAGTAGTGACACTGTGTAAACGTGCAAACGTTGTGTAATTATTCAGATATATATGCTTACATTCAGATAACCACTTCGTGCATCTATCACTGACCGTGCCATTGATTAATGTTTGTTCTTATCGCATCCTTACAACAAATTGTTTATGCACATGTATTGTGTATGTTGCTATAAATTTAAACGTGGCTTCATATACTAAAACGACTGTGATAAATAACACAAGCTTGTGTTTTCATTTTATTGAATGTAAAATATTTACTGCAAATCTTAAATAACAGAATATCGACCATATTTATTGCCATGTCGGTATTTATAGTACAGGGTGATACAGTTATAATATTTACTGTTGAATGTTTTGTCATAGTTAGGTGATGGTTCTATGGACCATATTCATAATTGGTCATTTGGTTTTCTTGAATTACACCTTCTCTTTCACGTTACTGTACGAATTTCGCGGTAACCGAGTCATTAATTTGCTGCTCATGTTGTCAATGCATCATACTGAAGCATACCTTTGTGCTGAAAGGATGTACTCACTGAAATAGAGAACTCTGCTTCGCCTCAGCATGGCTTGAAGAGTTATCTACTTGTTCATATGAAGCCTGCTTGGAAGAGAACAATCCTGTATGTATTCACCACGTATTCACTTTTCATCAGATACACTGATAAGCTATTCGTTGAACACAATACTTTGAGGTGCTCGTCTAGATCTCTCCCTTTGTTCTCACAAGTGTTCTTCCATAAACTGACAAGGTCAAGCTATGTTACCTGTAGATTTATCCACTCTAAAGGTAACATTTGAAACCTCGCTCTGCTGTTCAGTTCAAAATATATTTCAAATGCATATGTATGCACTCTATGTACATATGTTTGTACATATGAAGATTTAGTTTTATTCATTTCAACTTAAGATCGTTTATTATAATTTTCCGATAGTCAAGGAGTGCTTTAATAACTTGTGGCGATTTCGTACTTTTGAAAATATGTTACAACCTGGAACAAATCGTGAGTAAACAATATTTTAGAGTCGATTCGTCTTTATATCAAGTATTTCATCACCTTCGTGCTCAAAAACGGATACGTTTTCCTCAGTCAACCCCGCTACTCACCGCAGACATCAGCAGCTCCCAAACACAACCCCGGATCTGTCCACCTACCTGTACACTCAATACCTCCCCTACAGCCCAGGCAGTCTTATTTCCCGGGAAAACAGCATGAGTGTAGCCTACTCTGGGTTAGGGGACAGGGCTAGCTTCAGTCAGGTAGAAATATAGTTTACTGTCAGACATAATCTGAATCAATGCTCCAACCTGTGCTTTTTTTTTATTCATCAAATTGCTGACTACCTTCCACCCCTCTGGGCCATTCTACCCACACCTAAGGAATGACTTGGCCTAGATTATGCTACATATATGTGGGGTGTCAACTTGAAGTGTATACAATGCTATATAATCAGTCACGTGGCATGACTCTCCACCAGTGGCAGATAAAGATCCCTGAAACCACTTACGTGAAGCTGTAGTTGGAATCGCGAATATCTACACGTGCATCAACGTGCACTGAATATGTTTTATGCTGACGGGACATTCATGAAGTCAAAGAGAAGGGCACAGTCACACATTCACAACATTCATACTACTGTGTCCGTGTACTATGCAAGTACTTGTGATCAACATGGCTTCTCATACCGACGGACAACCTCCGGGGTCTAGTGGTAGAGCGTCCGCCCGGAGAACGGAAGGTTCGAGGTTCTCATACCAAAGTTTCCAAATGTAACTCATAAAACACATACTTTCGTGTCAGTTGTTAGCAATTTGGTCATCAGATAACAAGTGAATGTTTATTCACGGCGGCCTGTAATTACTCGATTCTGCTCCTGGTATATAAGTGGTTGATATCATGAACACATACGTCAGTGGTTGTTAGCATGAGCATCTTCAGAGACGCCAATGTCTGCAGGTTAGACAAGTATTATTTGGTAGGCTTAGATCACTGTTAATTTTAAAGACGTCTCCCGTTGCGAGTTCAGACCAATCGCATTGGCACAGTAGTTGACTGCTCCGGATCATGTATCGCAAGTGTTTTCATTATCTGAGTAAGTGTCGTTAGAATAATGCTTAGGGCAACCGACTCGTGTAGTACATAGTGTTATTTATACTAGTTGTGACATAAAGTTAAACTTTGCATAAAACTGAAGTCCCTGTTTGTTGCTTGAAGGTGCACAGCAGTACCCCTACCGTGCGACCTGTGAACAATGGAGTCTTGATCGGGTAATCGAGCAATCTTGAATCAGCCATTACAATTTCACATATGTACATTTTATTTACAAGAAGACATAACTTCAAAAGGAATCGATACACACATTAATTAGATGGTACATATCTGAGTAATGTATAACACAAAATGTAGAGTGAGTTGATATCAAAATATACAGGGTGAGTGTTAAAATACAGTACATTTGTTGGGTAATTCCCAGAGTAATATATAAAGGAATTTATAAGGCAATATATAGAGTCATATTTGGGGCAAACATGGGAGAATTCATGTAGTAATACATAAAATTAGATAATTGTATACAGTTTTAAAGCATAGCATAATACACAGCATAACATATACAGTGAAGGTTAGATTATGTATAAGGTGTAATTGGCCATAATATTAAACCAGGCAATGGTGAAGTCATATTATAGGGAGATACTTTGTGTACTATGTAGAAAGTCGAGAAATCGAAAAGCATATGCAAGGCTTCTTTTTGGTGAAACCTAAACGCCCAAATACACTTGCTTTGTTGCACATATACCAGAAAACGTCACTTTGTAGCTTTAAGGGTGGTTATCAAATTGTACACTTCCGGGAAAAACTGTTTGACTCTCCAAACAGTTTAATAAAAACGAATAAACCCTTTCAATCGTCCTGATAAATATCTGCCGAAAATCCAGTTGATGATATCAAACGACTTCGTCATGAGCAAGTGTTTATGAATCACTATATCACAATAGTGATGCTACGAGGTGTATGATCAAAATAGGGAGGTGAAGTGAGCTGAATATCAGATTTGAATTACAGACAAAGTACATAACAGACTTAAAGTTACAAAATACAAATGTATTTATTTATGAACGGGTGATATATAGCTCACAACTGTCTTGGGATCATTAACAAAAACATCACGCAAGAGTCGGGTGTAGGCCTGAGCATCACTTGCAGAACTGTGGGACGAATCAGAATCTGCCATGGCCCGTGACATATGCGTGTAGGAACGGACATCTCCGGCAGAACTCTGGGATGATTCGCCGTCTGAAACATTCTGTGGCATATGAGTGGAGGACTGGTTATCTCCGGCAGAACGCTGGGTTGCACCACTGTCTGCAACATCCTGTGATATATAAGTGGAGGGCTGGATATCTCCGGCAGAACGCTGGGTTGCACCACTGCCTGCAACATCCTGTGATATATGAGTGGAGGGCTGGTTATCTCCGGCAGAACGCTGGGTTGCACCACTGTCTGCAACATCCTGTGATATATGAGTGTAGGACTGTGTGTCTCCAGCAGAACTCTGGGATGATTCGCCGTCTGAAACATCCTGTGATATATGAGTGGAGGGCTGGTTCTCTCCGGCAGAACGCTGGATTACACCACTGCCTGTAACATCCTGTGATATATGAGTGTAGGACTGTGTGTCTCCAGCAGAACTCTGGGTTGCACCACTGCCTGCAACATCCTGTGATATATGAGTGTATGACTGTGTGTCTCCAACAGAACTCTGGGTTGCACCACTGCCTGCAACATCCTGTGATATATGAGTGTAGGACTGTGTGTCTCCAACAGAACTCTCGGAAGCATCACTGTATGTTCCACCACCTGTTGTAGAAAAACATTCTGCCAACACTGGCATGGAGAGTATTTGCCCACGTTCCTCTTGCTTCATAGCTGGTGGCACACAGGATGTGCCTATATCTTCATCTCTGATCTGCCAATAATTGTTGATAGCCTGGTATTCTACATAATATATATCACCCTGAACGCCTTCGTCATTGGGTTGAACAGTTGCCGATTGTTGAGCTCTGAATAATAAAGAGGAATATTAGATGGCAACAGAAGCTGCGAAGTGCCTTCACAAAATTGAGTGAACTGGCATATTGATTCAAGTGTGAAGAGTACATTTCAATAAGTGTCAGGTTTTGTCTGAATTACAGTAAAGATAATTGCGAATCATTAGCCAGCTATTGCAAGAGATATGGCACTATCTACTTTTGATGTAGGTACCTTTTAGTTCTCCAACGTTTGATGGAACACAGGCATGCTAGCATCACAATCACAATGACCACAGCTGTAAGCCCAGTCCACAGTCCGAATGCCGTGTTCATCCCATTCTCATCTGGAAAGCCAATATTTGACAATGATGGTTTTAAATCTTGTCTGTGCAATGTGTTTCATAATATAGTATTACAATTGTAAGTATCGAGACTATGACAGATACACAAATATATTTTGTTTTAAATGTATAGGCAGAAAATGGCAGTTTCATGGAAATAGGTAGCACCCCTTAACGTTAAAGAGGTTCCATCTTTTTTATCGCCTTTTGGTACGACGCGTCCAGGAATGGAAGTCCGGACCTACCACTCTCTGGGCGGACACTCTACCACTAGACCATGTAGGGGGTTCATTTACAAAAGGAAATATAAACGACCTTGATCTGAGTGGCATAACCGCAAAACATGATGCATTGCCAATAATCTACATACTATGAATCATCATTTGAATTTCAGTTATGATGCACATCGATGTGCTTTCCCTTGATATTCACTCACCCTGACATGATTGGCAGTCGTCCACAGTGCAGTTGTTCCTGCAGATAGGTGTGCATTTGTGTCCGGTAGTGTTGCAGCCTTTGAAACACATTCCTGTCATCTGGTCACACTCTCCATCAAGGCAGAATTCACACGTGTTGTTACACGATTGTCCATAGAATCCACTAGTACATCCATGAACACAAGTTCCATGGCTTGTATGACATGTGTGGTTGATACAGTTGTCAGGGCATGGTATACAGTTTCTTCCAAAATGATGAGATGCACACCCATCTACACAGTCGCCTGTATCTTTGCATCTCCCATTCCTACAGTTAACATTACACTGTGAGGAGCAGTGTGGCCCAAACCAGCCATCTACACACCCATCTACACAGTCGCCTGCATCGTTGCATCTCCCATTCCTACAGTTAATATTACAACATGAGGAGCACTGTGGCCCAAACCAGCCATCTACACATCCATGACGACAATCACCACTGTACTGATTGCATTCCACTGTGTCATTAAGTACAGGTCGTGTGTCTGCAGTGCTATTGTCCAGCATCACTGGACTATATCCACAGTTTGTACTGCATTCCTTCTCACAGGCAGCACCATAAAAGCCACGTATACAGCCATGCAGACATCCGAATTGACACGTGTCCCTACAGTGTTCACATAAATACTCGCAAATCGTCCCAAAATATTGTGGAAAACACTCCTCACACATCCCTGTATAACCATTGCACGTCTTACATCTTCTTGAACATCGTTTACAGTCAGATCCATAGTAGGAACCACTGCATCCTGATACACAGGTTGAACTAAGCTGGCAGTATCCTCCATCACAACCGCCAACACAAGCTGTACAGTTACCTGCTGGACTGTCACATGGTATGGTGCACCTCTCGCCCTGATAACCTAGGATACAACCTTCTGTGCATACTTCTGTGCCACCGCTCAAGGATTTACATTTCTTATTTTTACAGTTGCTGTTACAAGGAGTCTTACATTTCAGGTCGAAATAACCACTGTCACACTCGGTCAGACAACTGCCAGTGTCGCTGTCACAGTCTCGGCAGTGTTGGTCTTCACTGCAAATGGCAGCTGGAAATCATACAAAGAATACATCAGAAAATTAAGACAGGTACCAAGGATCTGAATCTCTACCAAGTCAACCCTAGAAGGACAACACATATATAGCTGGCCTGGATATGTTCACTGTTTTAAAAACTATATATAAACACAAAAAAATAGCATAGTTAGAACAAGTCTCAAAGAGGTATGATTTTTAACTATTTAACTAATACAGCCTCCGTGGGCTAGTGGTAGAGCGTCTGCCCGGAGAGCTGAAGGTCCGAGGTTCGATTCCCGGCCGCGTCATACCAAAAGACGTTATAAGATGGTACTTGTTGTTACCCTGTCTGGCGCTCGGCATTAAGGGACTAAAACAAGAACTGGTCAGCTCGGAGTCAGTATACTGTGTCTGAGTGGGGTATTTATGTTAAACTGTGGCATGTCATCTAAGTCAGCTAGCACCATAATCGGCATCAGTCCGGAATAGTATAAGCAGTCACACAAACACACACCCGTACATGCACGTCGCTATATAAGTGCAATAATCTTGGATGCGACGTTAAACCCCATTTCACATCACCTCACTATTTAACTAATATCAGAATGTTTACCTGTAGACATGATCAGATAGGCAATGTGCACAACCACCAGAGTGGACATCTCCTACCTGTAATACAGAAGAAGTCATGTAATACAAGAACATACATCTGATACACACACTAATGTTACGATGCTAGTTAAAGAAGTAAGTCACCAACGTAATTCAACTCCCTTGTTCGATCAACTAAAGTGAGCGATAAGTTCATCAGCCGGCTGTATGAATCCAACGAAGTTGATTCGTGATGATCTAATTTATATAATGGCCTTTTTCCTCATTACACGGAAAATAAAATTAGTTAACTGAAGGGCAAACAAAAATCCCATTTGTTTGAATGTCTGTAAAAGGAAACAAAAACAAATGTCCTTGGTAACATGAATGTGATTAATTAGGTCATCATCACACTACAAGCACGAATTAACACGTTTATTTTAGTTCAAAAGTGTTGTGATAGAGCGTTTTCATAGACATTTGTTATAAAGCTGAAATTGTTCCTGTTAATGTTTCTGCCGGGTGACCAAGAACGTTTTTGTCCGCGATCAGCTTTAATGCAACCTCCCACGCATCCCACCTTGATGTTGTCAACCGCATGATGACGTCATACGAGAATATCCACTGCTCCCCTAAAACAGCCTTGTCGATCTATTATCTGTCTGTTCATGTCGTCTCACACGTTTTCAATTCGATTCCTACCCTGTGAACATGCTGGACAAGGCAAGGCCTGCACATTGCTGCTGTTGAGGTTGTCCATGGCAGTTCATGCACTGCGTTGTTGTTTTCCAGAATTTCACCTGAGATCGTCAACGTGATACTTGCATTGCAACTGTCTGGACAAATTGATCTCTATATCCTTGAACATACAGATTCCAATTCACGAGGTGACAGGTTGATATAAATAAATGGTGGTTAGTTTGGACGATCTGGTCTAATAATATTATTATTATTATTATTATTATTATTATTATTATTAATTTGAGTGAATGATATTGAGTGTGTATTTCTTCATTTTGATCGATTATGTCTGAAATGTCACTAAAACTTGTAATTATTTGTAGTAACCGACATTACATTTTGTAAGATATATACTCTTAAAGTAAAAGAAACGCAAAGCCTAACGTGTGAGGTAAGAAAATACATTTATACGAGGAACTGTACAAGGTATTGAGCAAAAAATGTTGTGGACAGAACACTTGGTGATTGTAGACATCTCACTTATCGGTACATAGGAAAAGTCCAAGGTGAAGGTCAGCTACCATCAATAACGCACATGTCCCCCGTTGGAATCGATAGCAGCCTCACATCTGCTGCCCATGGAAGAGACGAGTATGAGAATCACATCCTGGGGAATGGTAGCCCACTCGGCCTGCAACGAAAAGGCCAACTGCTGCAAGGTCTGCGGTTGTGCTTGACGTCTGTGTAGCCGTCTATTTTGTTGATGGCGGGGATGGTTACTCTTGGTCGTCCCGATCTTGGCCGATCACGTGTTGACCCATGCTATTGAAACCTAATGGCATAGCATTGTGGTGGTGCTGGGCGCTCCGTTGAAAAAGCTGGCTACAGCTGACCAGGATTCCCCTGCCTGCAAACGGCCTATGACGTTGTTTCTTTTGGCCCTTTTAATAATGCACTGGGTGCGTTTTTCCGAATCGTACGTGTTTCCCGACTTATGGTTTCCATGTCCTAGTTGTGATCATTTTGATCCTGGAAATGTGTCACTGACACCATAACACATTAAATATTTTGCTTTTATGACCAACAATATCCACATTGCGTTTCTTTTTTTTAAAGAGTATTATATGATTAAAAATGCCCAGCAACAATGGCAGACAATTCAATAACGACCCGTGAAGATCTAGGGTAAAATTGGTCTTCAGCAACCCATGCTGGCGACTATGCTTGTGAAAGAGGCGACAAACGGGACCAGCTGGTCAGGCTCGCTGACATCTTTACACATGTCATCGTATCCCAATTGTCTGGATCGATGCTCATGATGTCAATCATCGGATTGTCTGACCTAGACTCGATTATTTACAGACAGCAGACATATAGCAGGAATATTGCTGAGTGTGGCGTTGAACAAACAAACAAACTATAAATGGTAACTTCCATGGTTTCAAACAAGAGTGGTTATTGCGATTTCGTACAGCTGATTGAACAATCAGAATCAAGTGTTTTCGATATTATAGAATATCATATCATCAACACCTCTCACGGACATTAAGGCTCATTTCGAAAGTACGATCTACATTTCTACTGGAGACAGATTTATTTGGGTGCGTCATACTCACACCATGTATAATAGACTGATACACTGACTACCAGCAAATGCTTCCTTCTGAAACCAGATCGAAACAAATGCATACAACTCGTGCATGCTTGTCATCTAGGTTTCAGGTTACGAATGTCGTGTGTGTCTGTCTGTTTTAGTTGTGATAACTGCAGTAGTCCTACTTTCTGTAACACGAGGCAGTCAGGGCATTGTTGACATTTTAGTGTTGGACCAAACAGGAAACAAACAACACGTGCCTTGATGTCAGCTTGACCTACCCAAATACACAAGTACAAGGTCAAACAGTGTCCTCGATCAATACAAAACTGACCTCCTGCTCATTGCCTTGGTGCACAGTAAGAGTGGCCTATTATGCAAAACGGGAGTTACCCGTGGAAATATGCATGGATAAGATTGAAAAAAATGTATAAATATTTAAACAATGAGCCAAGTGTAGTCTGTATTGTCCTGGATGATGGTTATGCATGGGCTAACACATGATACATTACAACGCCTTGTCATGTGTTTAGATCATATCACATTCAATTCTTTACCTGAAAAAAAACAGGAATTCGTCTAAGTTACGTTCACCTGCCGTATATCACGTCATGCCCGCTGACAAAGGAGAGTTGAGGTGAAATGTGGCTTACTGTTGCGTATCAAGATTGTAGCATTGATAAAGCGGTGTGTGTGTGAGAGAGTATGCGTGTGTGTGTGTGAGCGTTTGTATGTGTTTGTCTGTGGATGTGATTGTGTAACTGTCAGTGTGTGAGCATGTGTGCGTGGGTGTGTATGTCAGTGTGCACGTTTTTGCATGTGTGTTTGTGTGTGTGTTTATCTTTATGGGTGATTGTTTGTGAGTGAGCGTCCGTCTCGGTGTATGAGTGTGTGTGTGTGTGTGTGTGTGTGTGTGTGTATTTATATATGTGTGTGAGAGTGTTTGTGTATGTGTGTATGTGTGTCTGTCTGTGTGACAGATTATGCGTGTGTCTATATATGTGTGTGTGTTTATCTATCTGTGTGAATGTGTATGTGTGTGTGAGTATGTGTGTCAGTGTGTGTGTGTGTGAGAGAGATATTATGTATGTATGTGTATGTGTGTGTATATCTATGTATGTGAGTGTGCATGGGTGAGAGTGTGCATGAGAGTGTGTGTGCGTCTGTGTGTAGATGTGAGTGTGTGTATGTTTTTTTATCTGTGTTTGAGTATGTGTGTGTATGTGTGTGTGAGTGTTTTATTTTTCTCTGTGTGTGAGTATTAGTGTATGTGTGTGTGTCTGTGAGTGTGTATAAGTGTGTGTGTGTTTTTTCCCTGTGTGTGAGTATGTGTGTGCATGTGTGTATCAGTGGTTGGGTGTTTTTTTCTCTGTGTTTGAGTATGTGTGTGTGTGTGTGTTTGTGCATGTGAATGTGTATGTACGTGTGAGTGAGTGTGTTTTCATCTCAGTGTTTGAGTATGTGTGTGTGTGTATGTGTGTGAGTGGGTGCGTGTGTTTGTTTCTGTGTGTGAGAATATGTTTGTGAGTGGGTGTGTATGTGTGTGAGAGTTTGTGTGAGTGGGTGTGTATGCGTATGTACCTGTTTGTACTGGTCTGAAGCCGGATGTAAAGTGCTAGCTCACTGTGATTCCATGCTGAAGTTTAAGGGATACCAAACTCAGACTTAGTATACTGCAAGGCTACCAGTCCTTCTCTTATACGTTAGATAAGTAGCATCTATTAACGTCGTTAGATACAATGCGTAATGGTGTATCAGCTTAATGTGAGAGTCCAACCTAGATGGTAACAAGCACATGCAGTGTAAAATAGTGACAAGTGTAACGTTAGTCACAGTTATGGAACAGATTGGCTTAAATGCCCTGTCTCATCCATCAAACTGTGTTACATGAAATATACGTTGATATGTACAATATACTGTCCCTGAAAACCTGTTTGAGGTCACTGGTATCAAACATCTGTGTGAGATCAATCCGTGGCTGGCTACTCAATGGTGATGAGCTCAGGTCAGCTTATGACGGATTACTTTCCTGGTTGTAATTCATTGTTAAGTTTCTCGTGCTTCGGCCGAGTTCACCTACGTCTGTGGCAAAACTGTGTGGTGTGGCGTGTTTAATACTAAGTTTATTGTATAGAAAACAGTGACCGTAAAGATGTATTCTGCTGCAACGAATTCCCATTGAGATCAATATACGTAATGTTTACCTGTTAAGTAATTAACAGTTAATTAATAGTTAATTTATTGGTTGCATATTGGCGCACGTGTTGGGTAGCTTAACGTAAATAGTCCATCTACATTCATTAGCTTTATCAGGTATGTTAATGCAGTTTATATTGGCACTTGTAATCGACATGCACGTGTGTGTGTCTGCTGATACCAGTCCGGGCTTATGCTTGTTTAATAGTGATAGTCCACTGAGACGTGATGCCACAGTTTGAAATATATACCGCAGTCAGACACATTATACTGACTCTGAACGGACCAGTCCTTGTGTAAACCCCTTAATAGGGCAGTGTAAGACGAGTAAGAAACATATGTTGGTCTGACGCGGCCTGGAATCAAACCACCAACCCTCCACACTTACTAATGCAGGGCCATAACGCGTACCCTATCTTATAGTCTCGTGGTCTGGCGTGGCCTGGATTCGAACCACCAACCCTCCACACTTACTAATGCAGGTCTATAACGCCTACCATATATTATCGTCTTGTGGTCTGACGTGGCCAGCGGGTCGAATCACAAATTTCGAAGAAGACACCGAAGAAGAAGAAAAATAAGAAGAAGGCTGGTATGCACAAAATAATTATCAATACATTCTTTCCATTTGCATAGTGTAGTTGTATTTTGAAAACATATATCGTATGGCATGGCAGCACTTTCTTGCACAAAAATATCAAACGCACCAAAGGGCTGGTTCATCCCAGCCACCTGCTATGAACACATGAGCAATAATCAACCCATCTGTGTATACTGTGTCCTGTCAGATTGGCTCCCCGTCTAAGTGGCTTCCGTGTCATGCTGCTACAGCATTATCCATCTTCATTCTCAGCCTTGCTTGTGTATGAATCAGGATCTATACCGAACAAACGCAATTACAGTAACAAAAAAGAAGTTGTTAATCCATAAATTGTGTGTACAAAGTTGTGTCTGCTCAATGTTGATTTATTACGTTTGTGTCTCCTCAGTGTCATGTAATACTTTTGAGTTTTCCCAAGCCGCTATTAGTTTTTTTTAATTTTCATGGAAAGGTTCAGTATGGCTTAATGGTATCTAGCATTACGATGGATACATCAATTACTATTGCTGCTATATATTTATATTGCCTTCAAATTTACCACTTCTTCTTTCTACGGCACACGAATCGGAGGACTTATGATATTCTTTGCACCAGGATCTCAACTTGCCCGGATCCTGTCATAATACACATCCATCTCCCTGACATCCGCCTCCGCATCTCTCCTGTAACCCTTCCTCGTGTTGGCCGTGTACCAGGCTGATGACCAACACAGACTACGCAGGTCATTGGCAAGCTGGCTGGTCACCTCTTTGCTCCTGAACAGTTCCATGTGGAAATCCAACCATTTCTTCTTGTACAGCCTAGCATCCTTCTTCGTGCCAAACCTCTCACTGGCTGTGCTCCAAGCTGCTGCCCAGGCCATCTGCTCATACACAGAGCAGAATTCGTTGCTGAAGACACCGGAGCTGCAGAGACTGTCGTAGTGGCGACGAACCTTCGACTCGTCTCGCTGGGCGTCGGCCCTGTACCGCTTCATGGTGTTGGCTGCATGCCATGATGCATATTGTGCTATTTCCTCCATGTCCTCGGCTGCCATCGCCGGAATCCTGGACAGGGTTGCACAGTTGACACCTGGGTAGACAAATACAGGATGAACAACACTTAAAACATAATATTTTCTCATATACGACGTGACCTCCATTACCGGATGATTTATTTCACACACATTTCACATGGTCCAATATTTAGCTTCCTAAAAACTGCGGCTCTCACAGCTTCAGCAATTGCAACGATCCTTGTCTTCATTGCCACATTCATAGCGATATTGACTCTCATGGCAATAATGTCTATTTCACCAGCCCTCAATGAACATAAGAGCTCCCCTTCGTTTTGATTGGATGAAAGGATATGCTGGCAAGGGACATGTGGTGACATGGACATTATACCTGTAAATACCACCAGATACAGGGTGACATCAACTTCAGAATTCGGCCGAATCTTCACGTACAACAACTGCAGACAGTCTTAAATGTTTGCGAGGCGACAAAGTACCAGGTTTCAATATAGTGATACGTCAATTACGGGTCACTATACATGTATCAATGCAACACTATCTCAACGCATCTCCGCACAACATACCACTTGTGTCATGGTTGGGTGTCAAGGCCCTCTTCCTGGTTTTTGAAAGGGTATACATATTAATTAGTCTGATAAGTATGTCAACCTTACGTATATATCGCACCATATCGCACCATGCGTCATGGCGGGCTCTCGCTTGCTGGGTTGATGAGCGGTGTGGGTAATAGATAGACAGACTGGATGAGGTAGATTAAGAGTCACGACGGGCTCTCGCTTGCTGGGTTGATGAGCGGTGTGGGTAATAGATAGACAGACTGGATGAGGTAGATTAAGAGTCATGACGGGCTCTCGCTTGCTGGGTTGATGAGCGGAGTGGGTAATAGATAGACAGACTGGATGAGGTAGATTAAGAGTCATGACGGGCTCTCGCTTGCTGGGTTGACGAGCGGAGTGGGTAGTAGTTAGACAGACTGGAGGAGGTAGATTAAGATTCACGACGGGCCCTTGCTTGCTGGGTTGACGAGCGGAGTGGGTATTAGATAGACAGACTAGATGAGGTAGATTAAGAGTCATGACGGGCTCTCGCTTGCTGGGTTGATGAGCGGAGTGGGTAATAGATAGACAGACTGGATGAGGTAGATTAAGAGTCATGACGGGCTCTCGCTTGCTGGGTTGATGAGCGGAGTGGGTATTAGATAGACAGACTAGATGAGGTAGATTAAGAGTCATGACGGGCTCTCGCTTGCTGGGTTGACGAGCGGAGTGGGTATTAGATAGACAGACTGGATGAGGTAGATTAAGAGTCATGACGGGCTCTCGCTTGCTGGGTTGACGAGCGGAGTGGGTAGTAGATAGACAGACTGGATGAGGTAGATTAAGAGTCATGACGGGCTCTCGCTAGCTGGGTTGACGAGCGGAGTGGGTATTAGATAGACAGACTGGATGAGGTAGATTAAGAGTCATGACGGGCTCTCGCTTGCTGGGTTGACGAGCGGAGTGGGTAGTAGATAGACAGACTGGATGAGGTAGATTAAGAGTCATGACGGGCTCTCGCTAGCTGGGTTGACGAGCGGAGTGGGTATTAGATAGACAGACTGGATGAGGTAGATTAAGAGTCATGACGGGCTCTCGCTTGCTGGGTTGACGAGCGGAGTGGGTAGTAGATAGACAGACTGGATGAGGTAGATTAAGAGTCATGACGGGCTCTCGCTAGCTGGGTTGACGAGCGGAGTGGGGAGTAGATAGACAGACTGGATGAGGTAGATTAAGAGTCATGACGGGCTCTCGCTTGCTGGGTTGATGAGCGGAGTGGGTAGTAGATAGACAGACTGGAGGAGGTAGATTAAGAGTCATGACGGGCTCTCGCTTGCTGGGTTGACGAGCGGAGTGGGTAGTAGATAGACAGACTGGAGGAGGTAGATTAAGATTCATGACGGGCTCTCGCTTCCTGGGTTGACGAGCGGAGTGGGTAGTAGTTAGACAGACTGGAGGAGGTAGATTACGAGTGATGACGGGCTCTCGCTTCCTGGGTTGATGAGCGGAGTGGGTTGTAGATAGACAGACTGGAGGAGGTAGATTAAGAGTCATGACGGGCTCCTGCTTGCTGGGTTGATGAGCGGAGTGGGTTGTAGATACACAGACTGGAGGAGGTAGATTAAGAGTTACACATAGAAGGCTGCACGACCAGTGATGTTTAGTTCAGTATGTTTGTTGTTTTACGCCGCACTGAGTAAAAGTGCAGCGCCATGGCCGAATGACCTAGGTGTTAAAAGATATGGCGTAACCTTTATTAATAACTTAGATAAACAAAGACATACATCTTTACAAGTACGCTCACGACATACTTGTATGTTAAAGAGGCCATAATACGCACATCTCCAATACGGAACTCCATCGCCCTATTGTGTTCACATGAGGTTTTGTTTGTTTGTTTGACTGTTGTTTAACGCCAAACTCAGCAATATTACAGCCATATGACGGCGGTCTGTAAAATAATCGATTCTGGACCAAACATTTCAGTGATTGACATCATGAGCATCGATCCACGCAATTTGGGATCGATGACATGTATGAACCAAGTCAGCGAGTCTGACCACCTGATCCTGTTAGTCGCCTTTTACGACAAGCATAGTCGTCTGTTACAGCAAGTATGGGTTTCTGAAGACCTATTCTACCCCGTAATCTTTACGGGTCGCACATGAGGTAATTCGTCGAAATTCCAATTTGTCTCGTGAAAAAGAATGACAATTCCACTTGAAACACAATATTCCATGTTATTATAAAAAAAAAGTCAATATAAGCCAAAGCTAATTTAATTGTGTCTGTACAATTTGCTTTATGATCCAGTTATCAGTATCTTGTACCTTCATATCTAACTATCCGATAGATAGATTTATAAATCCTATCCTATTGATCTTATATCTTTGGAGACGTTATCTACAGCTGACAACACATATAACCTGCTCGGGACAATCGTCCACGTTTAATGCAACGTCAAGAAAACGACCATATTATGTCAGTGTATCCATAGAATCGATACCATGCTTCCACATTAACAGCTCGGAAAATATCTGGGGTAGAGACCAATTAGTGGTAGAATCGTACGCAACAAGTCGAGGGAGCACAAACTCCGTCCCTGCGTCCAGCGATCCGCTTTCTGAGGTTCAGGCAAGACTAGGACAGAATACTGTTCACTGATGAGCCCAGGATTCATCTGAACAGCTCTCATGGTTGAGCAAGAGTCTACAGGCATCTCCTCGGCTTGATGTCCTAATTCACAATTTCCACGTGCATTTTAATGAACAGCCAACAATTTGAATGTTTGCCTGTTTATGGGAGACATGCTACTTAAACACGTGGATCTATGAACAGCAGTTTTTAGCTATCAGGTGTTCCTAAAAAAAAAAGTTTTAACTGGAAATAAGGCTTTTGCAATGTCATGCCTTGCTGAAAATCAACATCTATCCGCCGTCAGTATGCTGCAACCAGGATTTCCGCACAACGAAGTTGCCAGAAATGTTGATGTTCATTGAACATAATATTATCTATTTGGAGATGTTATCTACAGCAGGGCGAGTCTCAAGACATGCCACGGGCCGGTCGTCCACGTGTGACGTCACGTCACAAAGACATCCATGTTCGGTTTGTGCATTTACGGAATCAATATCAAACTTCGACATTAAAAGTTCGGACAATTAGTGGGTTGAGCCCACTGGCAGAACAAGGCTGGGACAGTATAATCGTCATGGATGTAACCAGGTTTCATGATGGTCCTGCAAGGGTCAATGGACGTCTCGGAGAACGTTTTTGCAACATTTGCGTTATGGCGTCGGTTAGGGGGTGGAGGTGCAATGGTATGGGATGGAATCACTTCGCATGGGAGAACACAAATCATTGTTAATGGCAAATTGAATTGTGTAAGCTACCACGACCAGATGGTTCGAGATCATGTTTTACCAATTGTGCAAATTGAGAGACTTAATGTCACGTTGCAGCTTGATAATGCACGCCTCAACTGGGAACGTGTTGAAACAGACTGTTTGAGTCAGCATAACATTGTTGTACTGCCATGACCGTCTGTTTCTCCAGACGTCTACTACAAAGTAAATGTCTTGGGTGAGATGCTACAGCACCTACATGTACAGTGACGGACATGAGGATTGTGAAAATATGCGGGAAATGCCACCTGTGCATAATGGATTTGTCCGACGTTGCCGAAATCGGATATAATTGATTGTGTCATCATTTTTTTAAACAGGGGGTTATATTTGTTAAGCTTGTTAATTTATCAAAATCCTTAAAGAGGCTGTACATGATGTGGATATCTCATATAAGAAATAAACGACTCGTGGTCGTTGTTAATTGGAGACTAAGTCACTCGGGGCTGCACCCCACATGGTTTATTCTCCTGCAGTGTTTTACTGTACGCGAGGCGGCCCGGTAGCCTAGTGGTTCAAGCGTCCTCTGATCACGCCGAAGACACGGGTTCGCTTCCCGACATGAGTGCAATGTGTGGAGCTGGAATATTGCTTAAAGCGGCTTAAAACCACACTTACTCACTCAGTAAGTTTACTGTACTTTGGTTGGTTGTTTTACAAGCATAGTCGCCTTTTACGGCAAGCATAGGTTGCTGAAGACCTATTCTAGCCCGGATCTTCTCGTCGCTTTTTTCTCAAACAGTCTCCAGGATGTCAAAAACCCAACAACCTCAGAGCTGTTGAAACAATATATCACAAGGCGCTTATTAGAGTAACACCGGTCTGGTTGTAGCCAAGCGAGCTGGTCACTGGGGTAATCTCTGACCATGATACGGAAGATATTAATGATGACATCACGTTGTGTTGGTTAGTCAGACTTGTATCTACTTTGTGTATCGTGATCAGTAAACATAAGTGTAGTAAACGGATGCTCACCAGCCAGTGTATGACAGGAGTGATTGGAATAAACACTCAATATTTCAAATTGGTTGTGTGAAAAATGAATTATACTCCACGAGGAAAACGTACTTGTATTGCTGACACGCCAGATCACACATCAACACAATGTAGAATTTAGGTGTCACTCGTGTTCTTCCTGAATTAGATATATTGATATTAAGTCATGAAAACACGTATCAAGGAAGTCAGAGAGGTTTGACTGACACACTATTTATAGCACCCGTGAAGATCCGGGTTAAAATCGATCTTCAGCATCCAATGCTTATCTAACGGGGTCGGTTTGTCAGTCTCCCTGACTTGGTTGATGCGTGTCATCGTATCCCAATTACGTAGACTGATGCTCATGAGGTCGTGATTCCGACGTGATATTGCTTGAACAATGCCGAGTGCGGCGTTCAACAACTAACAAAATCATGTGAATCACTGGATTGCATGGTCCAGACAAGCAGATATACAAACACGTCGTAAGGGAAATAGTGTTATGACAGATATACAAACAGATGGTATGGGAAATAGCGTTATGACAAATATACAAACACGTTGTAAGGGAAATAATTTTATGACAGATATACAAACACGTCGTATGGGAAATAGTGTTATGACAGATGTACAGGCACGTCGTAAGGGAAATAGTGTTATGAGCAATGTACAGGCACGTCGTATGGAAAATAGTGTTATGACAGATGTACAGGCACGTCGAAAGGGAAATAGTGTTATGACAGGTATACAAACACGTCGTAAGGGAAATAGTGTTATGACAGATATACAAACACGTCGTATGGGAAATAGTGTTATGACAGATGTACAGGCACGTCGTATGGGAAATAGTGTTATGAGCAATGTACAGGCACGTCGAAAGGGAAATAGTGTTATGACAGGTATACAAACACGTCGTATGGGAAATAGTGTTATGACAGATGTACAGGCACGTCGTAAGGGAAATAGCGTTATGAGCAATGTACAGGCACGTCGTAAGGGAAATAGTGTTATGACAGGTATACAAACACGTCGTAATGGAATAAATTGTTATGGCAAATGTACAAACACGTCGAAAGGGAAATAGTGTTATGACAGATGTACAGGCACGTTGTATGGGAAATAGTGTTATGACAGTGGGACACTGCGGATATGTTTGCCTGCACTTCAGCCATGGTATTAGACAGCATTGAGTAGATTGTCACAGTATCAGGGGACTCGGGTAGATTGTCACAGCATCAGGGGGTTCGGGTAGATTGTCACAGTATCAGGGGGCTCGGGTAGATTGTCACAGTATCAGGGGGCTCGGGTAGATTGTCACAGCATCAGGGGCCTCGGGTAGATTGTCACAGTACCAGGGGACTCGGGTACATTGTCACAGTATCAGGGGACTCGGGTAGATTGTCACAGCATCAGGGGACTCGGGTAGATTCTCACAGTATCAGGGGACTCTGGTAGATTGTCACAGTATCAAGGGACTCGGGTAGATTGTTGGGGACAGCAAGTAGGGCACAAATGTGCCATCTACATAGTCGAAATTGGCTGTACAGAGGTACTTCCCTCAGGCAGACAAACCGATGATGTATTTCAGTCTGTTTACATAGAGAGACATACAATACAGCAGTAGAATCACGTTCAGGTGTAATGAGAGACACTCTACGCAGAGTATACACACATAGAGAGACATACAATACAGCAGTAGAATCACGTTCAGGTGTAATGAGAGACCCTCTACGCAGAGTTTACACACATAAAACAATCAAACTCCAAGGCGTGGACCAGACATAAGGAGGACACTGGCATATAGTTCATTTTGTTTGAGCCTTGTAAGGAACTGCTGTTTGTAAGGGAAATAGCGTTAATATATATATTTGGCTTTTTTAAATCAATCGGCGATAGGACATATATACATATGAATGATCAAGATGAATATTGCTTTAATGAATATACATATATGTGATTAATAGAGTTGTGATAAATATACAAGTGATTTATGGAGTTATGATAGATATACATACATGTGATTAATGGAGTTATGGTAAATATACATGTGCTTTAGGGAGTTATGATAAATATACATATATGTGATTTATGGAGTTATGATAGATATACATATATGTGATTAACACAGTTATAATAAATATACATACATGTGATTAATGGAGTCATGATAGATATACATATATGTGATTAATGGAGTCATGATAGATATACATATATGTGATTGATGCAGTTTTAATAAATATGCATAAATGTGGTAATTGTTATTGTTACGTGTAGTGGGACACTGCGGATATGTTTGCCTGCACTTCAGCCATGGTATTAGACAGCATTGAGTAGATTGTCACAGTATCAGGGGACTCGGGTAGATTGTCACAGCATCAGGGGGCTCGGGTAGATTGTCACTGCATCAGGAGACTCCGGTAGATTGTCACAGCATCAGGGGACTCGGGTAGATTGTCACTGCATCAGGGGGCTCGGGTAGATTCTCACAGTATAAGGAGACTCCGGTAGATTGTCACAGGATCAGGGGGCTCGGGTAGATTGTCACAGCATCAGGGAACTAGGGTAGATTGTCACAGCATCAGGGGGCTCAGGTAGATTGTCACTGCATCAGGGGACTCCGGTAGATTGTCACAGCATCAGGGGACTCGGGTACATTGTCACTGCATCAGGGGGCTCGGGTAGATTCTCAAAGTATCAGGAGACTAGGGTAGATTGTCACAGGATCAGGGGGCTCGGGTAGATTGTCACTGCATCAGGAGACTCCGGTAGATTGTCACAGCATCAGGCGACTCGGGTATATTCTCAAAGTATCAGGAGACTCGGGTAGATTGTCACTGCATCAGGGGGCTCGGGTAGATTTTCAAAGTATCAAGAGACTCGGGTAGATTGTCACAGGATCAGGGGGCTCGGGTAGATTGTCACAGCATCAGGGAACTCGGGTAGAATGTCACAGTATCAGGGGGCTCGGGTAGATTGTCACAGCATCAGGGGGTTCGGGTAGATTGTCACAGTATCAGGGGGCTCAGGTAGATTGTCACAGGATCAGGGGCCTCGGGTATATTGTCACAGTATCAGGGGGCTCGGGTAGATTGTCACAGCATCAGGGGGTTCGGGTAGATTGTCACAGTATCAGGGGGCTCGGGTAGATTGTCACAGTATCAGGGGGCTCGGGTAGATTGTCACAGCATCAGGGGCCTCGGGTAGATTGTCACAGTATCAGGGGACTCGGGTATATTGTCACAGTATCAGGGGCCCTCGGGTAGATTGTCACAGCATCAGGGGACTCGGGTAGATTCTCACAGTATCAGGGGACTCTGGTAGATTGTCACAGTATCAAGGGACTCGGGTAGATTGTTGGGGACAGCAAGTAGGGCACAAATGTGCCATCTACATAGTCGAAATTGGCAGTACAGAGGTACTTCCCTCAGGCAGACAAACCGATGATGTATTTCAGTCTGTTTACATAGAGAGACATACAATACAGCAGTAGAATCACGTTCAGGTGTAATGAGAGACACTCTACGCAGAGTATACACACATAGAGAGACATACAATACAGCAGTAGAATCACGTTCAGGTGTAATGAGAGACTCTCTACGCAGAGTTTACACACATAAGACAATCAAACTCCAAGGCGTGGACCAGACATAAGGAGGACACTGGCATATAGTTCATTTTGTTTGAGCCTTGTAATGAACTCCTGTTTGAAAGGCAGGCTAAAGAGGTTTATTGTCGACATAATGCATTGCCTTTATGTCTATATAGTGATCGTTCACGCTACTGATTGTGAGCACATTTGTCTACTCCATGCTGTGAATATAAACCGACAATGCCGGAGAAAAGTCAGTCTCTATTACATGTCAAGACAGACTTTATTGAGCGTCAAGGGCAAAATATTGGTTGATCACTGAACATCAGTTTAGGCACAAGGTGTTTGCGGGTAAAGGAAAGCATGCACTCCTCTACCAGTAAAAGTAAGTTTCTGTTTGTTGCCTAACGCCGAAGAGATGTAACCCTGATAAGGTATTCCCTGTATAAAGCCCATGTGTGAAGCCCATTTCTAATGGGCAGTGTTGAAAATCATAAAACGGGTGTTGGATCGTAAATATGTGTAAGTTTCTCTAAGATCGAGAACGGGTGTTAGATCATAAAGATGTGTAAGTTTCTCAAAGGCCGAGAACAAGTGCTTGATCGTAAAGATGTGTAAGTTTCCCAAAGACTAAGAACGGGTGTTGGATCGTAAAGATGTGTAAGTTTCCCTAAGATCGGGAACGGGTGTTGGATCGTGCAGATGTGTAAGACAGGGGGCGGACGGGTAGCCCAGTGGTTAAAGCGTTCGCTCGTCACGCCGAAGACCCAGGTTCGATTCCTGACCTGGGTACAGTGTGTGAAGCCCTTTTCTAATTGGCAGTGTTGAAAATCATAAAACGGGTGTTGGATCGTAAATATGTGTAAGTTTCCCTAAGATCGAGAACGGGTGTTGGATCGTGCAGATGTGTAAGACAGGGGGCGGACGGGTAGCCCAGTGGTTAAAGCGTTTGCTCGTCACGCCGAAGACCCAGGTTCGATTCCTGACCTGGGTACAGTGTGTGAAGCCCATTTCTAATTGGCAGTGTTGAAATTCATAAAACGGGTGTTGGATCGTAAATATGTGTAAGTTTCCCTAAGATCGAGAACGGGTGTTGGATCGTAAATATTCGTTAGTTTCCCAAAGACTAAGAACGGGTGTTGGATCTTTAAGATGTGTAAGTTTCCCAAAGACTAAGAACAGGTGTTGGATCGTAAAGATGTGTAGGTTTCCCAAAGACTAATAACGGGTGTTGGATCGTAAAGATGTGTAAGTTTCCCTAAGATCGAGAACGGGTGTTTGATCGTAAAGATGTGTTAGTTTCCCTAAGAACGAGAACGGTTGTTGCATAGTAAATATGTAAAAGTTTCCCTAAGATCGAGAACGGGTGTTGGATCGTAAATATGTGTAAGTTTCTCTAAGATAGAGAACAGGTGTTGGATCGTAAAGATGTGTAAGTTTCCCAAAGACTAATAACAGGTGTTGGATCGTCAAGATGTGTAAGTTTCTCTAAGAGCGAGAACGGGTGTTGGATCGTAAAGATGTGTAAGTTTCCCAAAGACTAAGAACGGGTGTTGGATCGTAAAGATGTGTAAGTTTCCCTAAGATCGAGAACGGGTGTTGGATCGTGCAGATGTGTAAGACAGGGGGCGGACGGGTAGCCCAGTGGTTAAAGCGTTTGCTCGTCACGCCGAAGACCAAGATTCGATTCCTGACCTGGGTACAGTGTGTGAAGCTCATGTCTGGTGTCCCCCGCCATGATATTGCTGGAATATTGCTAAAAGCGGCGTAAAACCATACTCACTCACTCCCTAAGACAGAAAACGGGCGTTGGATCGTGAGTCACCATAGCGTGAGGCACGGTAACGGTAAAACGAGACAGCGGTCGCACTATAGCGCGGTAATTGAGCGGATGGTAGAGCTCGGCTGCATCCGGTTAACTGCATAGTTGCCTATCATTTTGATAAGAAAGTTGACCTGAAACAATATTTCGTGTTTCTTGGAATTAGAGTACCGAGAACTTAATTTGCACCGAAGGAGCATTAGGATTTACGAACTGTCCCAGTAAGTGTTCCTTTTGATTTGATTAGTAGGTGTTTTGTACACACTGTTATTAGGCAGGGAGTTGTGTCCAGTGTGGTTTCGCCTCACACTGACAAGTGTTCAGTGTTTATATTGCCACGCCCTCCATGTATCTAACAGCACCTTCCACATTCAGTTGGGTGTGTCCTATCTATATATACTTGGTAAACTGAAACATGTAGGCGAGTAAACACGTTTTAGAGGGTAACGTGGGCGATTTATTATTCAACCAAAAGTTATCACTGATCCGAGCTTATTTCGTGATCAAATGTGCACAACATTGTCCTCGAAAAGCCATACCCTCAGAATAGACGCGAACGTTTGCGTTTGGTATGACTTAATTATTCACTTGCCTCTGAATGTGTTTTTCATCACAATACAGATTTGGGCATAGACACAATATGTTATACCAACCATAGGGGCATGAGTATAGTCGGTACGTGGTATATCAACCATAAGGGCATGGTTATAGTCGGAACGTGTTATATCGACCATAGGGTCATGGTTATAGTCGGAACGTGTTATATCAACCATAGGGTCATGGTTATAGTCGGTACGTCGTATATCAACCATAAGGGCATGGTTATAGTCGGAACGTGTTATATCGACCATAGAGGCATAGATATAGTCGGAAAGTGTTATATCAACCATATGGGCATGGTTATAGTCGGAACGTGTTATATCGACCATAGGGTCATGGTTATAGTCGGTACGTTGTATATCAACCATAAGGGCATGGTTATAGTCGGAACGTGTTATATCAACCATATGGGCATGGTTATAGTCGGAACGTGTTATATCGACCATGGGGTCATGGTTATAGTCGGTACGTCGTATATCAACCATAAGGGCATGGCTATAGTCGGAACGTGTTATATCAACCATAGGGTCATGGTTATAGTCGGTACGTCGTATATCAACCATAAGGGCATGGTTATAGTCGGAAAGTGTTATATCAACCATATGGGCATGGTTAAAGTCGGAACGTGTTATATCAACCATAGGAGCATGGTTATAGTCGGAACGTGTTATATCAACCATAGGAGCATTGTTATAGTCGGAACGTGTTATATCAACCATAGGGTCATGATTAATGTCGGAACGTGTTATATGTACCATAGGAGCATGGTTATAGTCGGAACGTGTTATATCAACCATAAGGGCATGAGTATAGTCGGAACGTGTTATATCAAACATAGGGGCATGGTTATAGTCGGAACGTGTTATATCGACCATAGAGGTATGGTTATAGTCGGAAGGTGTTATATCAACCATAGGAGCATGGTTATAGTCGGAACGTGTTATATCAACCATAGGAGCATGGTTATAGTCGGAACGTGTTATATCAACCATAAGGTCATGGTTAAAGTCAGAACGTGTTATTTCAACTATAGGGGCTTGGTTATAGTCGGAAGTTGTTATATCAACCATAGGAGCATGGTTATAGTCGAAACGTGTTATATCAACCATAGGGGCATGGTTATAGTCGGAAGGTGTTATATCAACCATAGGAGCATGGTTATAGTCGGAACGTGTTATATCAACCATAGGGGCATGGTTATAGTCGGAACGTGTTATATCAACCATAGGAGCATGGTTATAGTCGGAAGTTGTTATATCAACCATAGGAGCATGGTTATAGTCGAAACGTGTTATATCAACCATAGGGGCATGGTTATAGTCGGAAGGTGTTATATCAACCATAGGAGCATGTTTATAGTCGGAACGTGTTATATCAACCATAGGGGCATGGTTATAGTCGGAACGTGTTATATCAACCATAGGAGCATGGTTAAAGTCGGAACGTGTTATATCAACCATAGGGACATGGTTATAGTCGGAACGTGTTATATCGACAATAGAGGCATTGTTATAGTCGGAACGTGTTATATCAACCATAGGGGCATCGTTATAATCGGAACGTGTTATATCAACCACAGGGGCATGGTTAAAGTCGAAACGTGTTATATCAACCATAGGAGCATGGTTATACTCGGAACGTGTTATATCAACGATAGGGGCATGGTTATAGTCGGAATGTGTTATATCAACCATAGGAGCATGGTTATAGTCGGTACGTGTTATATCAACCATAAGGGCATGGTTATAGTCGGAACGTGTTATATCAACCATAGGAGCATGGTTATAGTCGGAACGTGTTATATCAACCATAGGAGCATGGTTAAAGTCGAAACGTGTTATATCAACCATAGGAGCGTGGTTATAGTCGGAACGTGTTATATCGACAATAGAGGCATTGTTACAGTGGGAACCTGTTATATCAACCATAAGGGCATGGTTATAGTCGGAACGTGTTATATCAACCATAAGGCCATGGTTATAGTTAGAACGTGTTTTATCATCCAAAACTGGCTCCCACAGGAGATATCGCTTGATCTCATCCAAGCGATATATACACTGTAGATATCGCTGCAATGAAATTACATCACAATGGTTTGTAGACCATTGTGACGTCACTGGTTACCATGACGTCACAATCAATTGACATCACTAATGGCTCTGCTACTGAAGCTGTTTTCAGTACTTTTTTCACTGAAGACACTGCTAATTACTGTCAAACAAATTGAAAAAGTTGAAAGAATGATGTTGAATTATAAATAAAATCTCACCCTCGTGTCTTTTGATATCAAATATATGAACACTCGTTCATAAAAGTGGCAAAAATCCTCGGCAAGACTCGAATTTTTTCCACTTTTATCAACTCGTGTTGATATATTTGATATCAAAAGACACGAGGGTGAGATTCTCTATATATCGACAACAGAGGCATAGTTATAGTCGGAACGTGTTATATCAACCATAGGGGCATGGTTATAATCGGAACGTGTTATATCAACCATAGGGGCATGGTTATAGTCGGAACGTGTTATATCAACCATAGGGGCATGGTTATAGTCGGAACGTGTTATATCAACCATAGGGGCATGGTTATAGTCGGAACGTGTTAAAATCAACCATAGGGGAATGACTATAGACGGGAGGTGGTTTATCAATCATAGGGGCATGACTATAGTCGCAAAGTGTTATCTCAACCATAGGGGCATGATTATTGTCGGAACGTGGTGTATCAACCATAGGGGCATGGTTATTGTCGGAACGTGTTATATCAACCATAGGGGCATGGTTCTAGTCGGAACATGGTATATCAACCATAGGGGCATGAGTATAGTTAGAATGTGTTGTATCAACCATAGGGGCATGGTTATAGTCGGAACGTGTTATATCAACCATAGGGGCATGGTTATAGTCGGAAAATGGTATATCAACCATAGGGGCATGAGTATAGTGGGAGCGTGTTATATCAACCATAGTGGCATGTTTATACTCGGAACGTGTTGAGTCAACCATGGGGGCATGGTTATAGACGGAACGTGATCAATCAATCATCGGGGATTGGATATGAGTTGGAATGTGTTATATCAACCGTAGGGGTAAGATTATTATCGGAACATGTTATATCAACCATAGGAGCATGTTTATAGTCGGAACATGTTATATCAACCATAGGAGCATGTTTATAGTCGGAACGTGTTATATCAAACATAGGGGCATGGTTATAGACGGAACGTGTTATATCGACCATAGGGGCATGGTTATAGTCGGAACGTGTTATATTAACCATAGGGGCATGGCTATAGACGGAACGTGTTATATCAACCATAGGGGCATGGTTATAGTCGGAACGTGTTATATCAACTATAGGGACAAAGTCATTGCCGGAACGTGTTAGGTCAACCTTAAGGGCAAGGTTATAGCCGGAAAGTGTTATATCAACCATAGGGACATGAACATGGTCAGAACGTGTTATATCAACCATAGGGGCATGGTTATAGTCGATACGTGTTGTATCAACCATAGGAATCAACCATAGGGGCAAGGTTATGGTCGGAACGTGTTGTATCAACCATAGAGGCATGGTTATAGTTGGAACATCGTATATCAACCATAGGGGCATTGTTATGGTCGGAACATGGTATGTCAACCATAGGGACATGGTTATAGTCGGAACGTGATACATCAACCATAGGAGATTGGATATGAGTTTGAGTGTGTTATATCAACGATAGGGGCACGGTTATATACGGAACATGGTATATCAACCATGAGGGCACGGTTATAGACGGAACGTGTTATATCAACCATAGGGGCACGGTTATAGTCAGAACGTGTTGTATCAACCATAGGGGCATGGTTATAGTCAGAACGTGTTATATCAACCATAGGGGCATGGTTATAGCCAGAACGTGTTATATCAACCATAGGGGCATGGTTATAGTCGGAACGTGTTATATCAACCATAGGGGCAGGAACATAATCGGAACGTGGTATATCAACCATAGGGGCATGAGCATGGTCGGAACGTTATATATCAACCATAGGGGCATGAGTAAATCGGAACGTGGTATATCAACCATAGGGGCAGGAGCATGGCCGGAACATGTTATATCAACCATAGGGGCAGGAGCATGTCCGGAACGTGTTATATCAACCATAGGGGCATGGTTATAGTCGGAACGTGTTGTATCCAGTCTCCCCAGCGAGTAGGATGTCATCCACGTTCTGGCCTGCACAAGGTGGCAAGTCTCCCCACTGGTTAGGATGTCATCCATGTTCTGGTCTGCACAAGGTGACCAGTCCCCCCACTGGTTAGGATGTCATCCATGTTCTGGTCTGCACAAGGTGACCAGTCTCCCCACTGGTTAGGAAGTCATCCATGTTCTGGTCTGGACAAGGTGATCGGTCTTCCCACTGGTTAGGATGTCATCCATGTTCTAGTCTGCACAAGGTGACCAGTCTCCCCGCTGGTTAGGATGTCATCCATGTTCTAGTCTGCACAAGGTGACCAGTCTCCCCAAGAACAAGAGCAAGAGCCACGCCCTTAGCTTCTTGATGCACTTGTATTGACCCTGCAGAAAAACTAGGTAGCCGGCATTCAAGCTTGTTCGGTGATGAAATGACAC